TGAAAAATCGACGATTGTTTAAATTTTTACTCCAAAATATCTCAGATAAAAATGTTGATTTTGGATCGGAAGGCCGGATGTTGAGGTGGTCCCGCGACACGCAGAAGTAACGAACTCGCGCGCACAATGGTAGCTTCTCGGATTTCGAGTTTGCGGCGGTTGTAATTACTGCAAAAAATCGCGCATTAGAAAATTAAAACCCATTCCTTTTATTAAAACGCGCTCGCTCCGTCGTGCAGCCGAAACGGAGTTTTCGCGCGTGTTTTATTGATCTCGGTTTGGTATAGCCAAGGCCAAAGGAGTGAGTATGAGTGAATGTGTGTGTGGTGCAGGCGGGCGGGCGAGCGAGCGACTTTGCATAAAATGATTGAGGCTTGGGCAGCGGTCCAGACCGGATTAGCAGTCGTGCTGTGACGAATACATGACAAAAAACAATACTGCCGCATTATCCTATTTACTCAGTCGGCGGCTCGGCGGGCCTTCAACCCAAATGTAATAAGTACGCTTTCGTTATTCCGCCGCCGCCGCAACCGCCACTGGATTTTCATATCTGGCTCTCTTTCAGCCACTTTTCAATTCGACTCGCAACTAATGTAAACCAAAGAGCTACACTGCGGAAACGGAGTGAATTTCAAATGGGCGAAAACGATTTGAATGCTTTCAAGAGATAAGGGATGAATAAAATTGCATTAAACTGCGCGGGTGTGGTTTAGAAATTTTATTGGAGATTCTCTGTTTATTCCATGGAATATAAGTTAATTAATTTTAAAGAATTATTTATAATTTGTAAAGCTATAAAATACAACATATTTCAAGTCATTGAACCTTTTTTTATTTTAAAGCTTATTTTTATATTTAATTTTGCATTTATATTACTGGGAAAAATCCCACAAAAGAGCCACAATAACTCAAATATTAATTATTTTCATTTTACATATTATACAAATCATCATTTTCACTTTCTTTGGCACGAATCACGATTTTTAACTTTAACCTTTTACTCTCTCTAGAATTTCTTGTATTGGAAAAAATAGTATGGTATTGTAATAAAACTTTCAACGTCTTTTAGCTTTTTATGATTTTGTTTCCTCAGAGGCGTTCGACCGCTAGAGCAAGAAAATGAAGCATTATTTAATGTCATGTTCTTAAAATTAAGCATTTTGAGGCCAAAACTTGCCCAATTTAGCACACACCTGATGACTTATTTTATATAATTCCTATTTTTATTGGTTTCCTTATACCTCAGTATGAAGACAAGTAATTTCTTTGAATCTAAGAAATGTCCTCAAAACTCGGTGCAAAATTAAGCTTAGTAAGAAATTTTTCGTGTAACGGCCGAAATTATCACCTGTGCTACCGCGCGCGTTTCCTCTTGTCGCTAATGAAGAGCAATTATAAGTTATACGCATAGCAGAAACTTATTCCGGGTTCGCACACCAGCACCACCCCTTTCATTCAAATTGCCAATTTGTGTTATGAAGTTAGTTGCTGCTGCAGTAGGTTTCTCTCTCTCTCTCTCTCTCTCTCTCTCTCTCTCTCTCTCTCTCTCTCTCTCTCTCTCTCTCTCTCTCTCTCTCTCTCTCTCTCTCTCTCTCTCTCTCTCTCTCTCTCTCTCTTTTGTGCGCGTCTCTTTCCTCTCCTAAAAAGAGATTCCTGTGCGTGAAAAGAGGGGGCGCACGTTCGTCAACCTTTCATTAAATCGCTGCTCATTAATTATCCCGATTCTCTCTTTATGCACTTAGCCGACCAGCGAGAGGAAGGGTTGCTTTGAAGCCGCTGTTAAAAATGCAAAGAAAGATAATCCCGGCTAATGGGTGTCTTACGCCCAATAAATCTTGAACGAGGCCCGCAATTAAAACGGGCCTAAGCTAATGTATAAGAGACTGCGCTTTTAATTCAAAATTTTAAATGCAGAACACTCAAAATGCTCCATAGGGGAAGAGCAAGAGTTGAGTTGCAGATTAAATTTAGTCCCTAAACTTAGTCAGAGCGTATTAAATGTTCTGTAATTGATGAAGATTAATTAAAAGGAATGTTGCAAGTAAAAATAAAAAATACTAAATTCAAAATTTTGTTAAATATTATATTTAAAATTAAGATATTTTATAACTTTTTAATTTTTAAATAAAAAATTTATATCATGTACCGAAGTTCTATGCAGAAACATTCATAATTGAAAGTATAATTTTTTTGTTATTATTAATTGTACTGTGGGGTGTGGGCATAAAAAATTGAAAATTGGAAAAAACAATTAGTAATAACCTAATGTAATTAAATTACAAGAATTTGAATCTCGGCAAAATTATATACATATCAGGGATCTGAATAACATGGATTTTTTAATGTTTCTTAGTCTTACGTTTTAATTTTAAGTAACAGAAATAAATTACCAGTCAATATTCCAATTAGAGCCTCTTTTAATTGAAAACTATTGCCGGAGTAGCATTTTAAACATTAAAAAATAAGAAACTTTTCACCGCATCTTAAAAAAAAAAAATGAAAAAAATCTGATGTTTTCCGCCGCGTGTATGGTACGTTAATTAAATTTCGCGATACACAGAGAGAGGAAAATATTTCAAACAAGGGAGGTAATTATTCAAAAGTTTGAGTGGCTGGCTGTTTGTGTAAACGCCGAGCTAATTAGCAGGCAAAAGTACGACGGGGCCGCACCGCAGAGAGTATAAAAAGCGCTCACAAGTAGTTTATAAATATTGATTTTGCGGCGCGCGGCCTTTGTCTAATTAAAAGTGCCAGGTCGCCGCGCCACCCCGCCCTCCCCCCGCAAACAAACTACCCTGAGATTCCATACGGGTGTGTTGCTCGCTCGCGCAAACACACAATGCGCTCCCTCGTTATTGGCCTTGATTGTGCTGCAATTAGCGCCACACACTTTCTCTCTCCTTCGGCGAACGAGTTGCATGCCTCGACGCTCATCAAACTCAATTTGCGCATCACCCTCACCCACCCACCACCACTCGCCAATGCACACACACGGTCTGTCCGAATGGAAGAGAAGCACCGAAAGATGAGTCAGTTCTTACATTTTTGTCTGTCAACAAAAAAAATTAATAAAAAGCAGTTTTTAAATTAAATCAGAATTTTTCGTGTCTGCAAGCTTTTTATTTATTTATAATTAATAAATAAATTAATAATAAATAAAAAAATTTTATTTAAAAAAATAAATTACGCATCAAAATTTTTGGTAACGTTAAATATTACAATCTTAGTTTTGTTTACTTTTTAGTTTTTTTTATATTTATAATATAAAAAAACACCATCATTATGAAGCAAACGAGAAAAATCTTTAACTTCTTGGCAATGCCGGAGATTTTTCTTTCATAAAAATATCAGAGAGGAAAAAATTTTTATGTAGCAATCCTTACATTCATGGAAATGAAGTGATCACGCTCAATTTGTTAGCATGATAAGAGGCTGTATAATATTGGACCGATTTGATGATTTTTTTTAACCCCTGGTGCCTCTGGCTGAAATTTTGGTGCTCCAATTAGCGAGAAACAAAAAGAGCACAGATCACGCACTTCACATCTACATTATTTTTTGCTCGCAATGTGCGTTTTTGCCTTTTCGGCAGCGACGTGTGTCTCGCTCCCTCCGCAGCTGCGGAGAGTGGAGAGGGTGGCGCCTCATCTCGTGTTTCGAACCTGTCCCGCGGAGCTCCTTTAATTAACAGAAAGTGGTTCATTAGTGCTTATTCATTAAAGCAGAGAGTAATTAGGGAACTCTAATGAATGCTGTAATAATCTAACAGCGAGCGAGTGCTGCGCGCCTCATCTCTCTGCTGCTTTTTGCATCTCTGTCTGTTTCCACCCTCCCAACCGCCCACCTTGTTCTTCAATTAAACACATTTTGGCTAACGCCGATTTTATTTTTGCTTTGTCGCTGCACGAGAGACATGCTGATTTATATGCCGGCGATTGCTTGCGAATCCCATTTTGATTAAAATGGACGGAATCTTTTTAATCTTGGAAGTTGTGAAATTCTTGCTAGTATATGGTGGTGCCTTTTCGTCCAACAATTCCTTATTCTCAATAAAATTTTTTTTCAAAAATCGAATGTAATTAATGTGATAGTAGCGATTGGATGAATAATATTGCTTTTTTGGCGTTTTTTTTTACATCACACTCATCACAGGTAAAAAGAAAAAAGTGTAAACACATGTTAATTTTAAAAAAAAATCATTGCTTTTTTACTGTGAACCAATGATTAAATGTCAAATCAAATTCATTTCATTTCAATTCATTTCATTTATTCTCTCGCAACAAGTCATCAGAAAAGAAAAGTCACATTGGGAAAGAATTGGCAGCCAGCTCTAGTAAACAACTTACTAAAACTCATAGGCCCAATTAGGAAGCAAAAGTGTTTCCAAATTAAACCTACTCGCCGAGCTGTAGCCGTAAACGGGAAAAAATTTATCAAAGGGTCACATATTCTTTACATGCAATTTTAAACTGAGGAACCGTACAATTTTTTAACGCAGAAGGCAGCAAGGCAGGGAATTCCACTGATCCGCGATTCGGAAAGAAAAACTTTGTCGACCGAGCTCTGTGCGCACTTTTGGGAGAATTAAACGGTGCTCGCCGCCACTATTTCTCATCACTCGGCCGGTGGTGATTCTCGCCTTTGCGTCCATGTCAGTCTCGCCACTGGTGCATTTCTTGAAAATCATCAAGTCATTAAACTTAAGCTGCTGCTGCACCGACAGCAACCCGTGTTCGGCCGCGTCAGGGATGTGCCGCCCGTACACAAACCTGAGGGCTCTTTTTTGCACGCGCTGGAATTTGTTGATGTTAATATCGATGGAGGGGTGCCACGCGGGGGTGCATTTAAAGTTTAAACTCTGAATGAATTTAAATTTCAGCATTTTTCAAATGCTGGACGGAAGTAAAATGTTGAAAAATAGAATTGCAGTTATTCAATGAAAAGTGTTTATTGCTTGTGGTTTTCCGTGTTTACCAAGTTGAAACTGATTATGTAGCCAAATATCAGTAGATTTAAAAAAGTATTACAGTACAAGGCATTGCGATGGGCGACGCCAGGCAGCCTATGAGGCCCCATCAGGCCTCCGCAGGATCTGAGGCTGATACATCGCGAATTCAACGCTCTGGGACTAGAAATGCCAAACAAAGACGCCGCTGCTCACTGGCGCTTATGTGGACATCCTTTGGACTTGTTACCCTTATCTACATGTGTTGCACCGGATTGAATTTCTACGCGACAATGAACAATGTGACCAAATTATTTTTGTTTTATTTGGCTTGCATTGCAAACAAATTTGAATCTGTGAGGGTTAAAAAATAATCTTTTTCAGTGCAACCAGAGCAAAGAAAAATCAATTGATCTGCAAATTTTTCCCTTAAAAAGCAAGATCAAGGACATGGCAGAAAAATCGTACAAGCGTCACCAACAGGTTTGTAATGTTTTTGTAGCTTCTTATGCGTCATAATTTTATTAATTCGTTTTCAGTTTTTTAATTGCTTACTTACAACGAAGTGTGACCCTGAATTGTTTTGTAAGTCATTTTCAATTATTTGGAGTGTTATAAAATTTTGAGAGTAAAAATAAAAAATACATATGAAGTCGTTTTCAAATTAAAACTTTTTTCAATTTGCTCTTCAAAATTCAGGTCATGAAAATTCAAAAATGCTCTCCAACGGCAAGAAATACTTTTTTTCGGGAAATGCAAATTTCTTGAAGAATATAATACATAGTATTGTAAGTTTTTAGTTTTCAGTATTTTGATTTGTAAAATAATCTCACTTCTTCTCAGGGAGATTGGGCTTACGCAAATAAGTCGTGCGAGGAAAACGGCATGCACCTCGCAACCATTCTTGATCAGAATCATTTGGATGCACTGTGGAATGAATCCAGGGATGTGTTTGGAGTAAGTGGTATGTCTAAAAAAGCATTCAAAATTATAAGATTGTTGCTTCAATGTGAAGTTGACATGATTCATAAAATTTTTCAGTGTTTTGAGCAAAAGTAATAAACTTCTTAAAATTTTTTAGGAAACTGGGGCGTATGGGTTTCGGCAAAATCCTATGGTAAAGGAAAGTATGATATTCGTTGGTTAGACGGTACTCCACTGGAAAAAAATAGTTCACTGTGGAGGGAAAATGCCGCCAAAGAAAACTGCATCAATCTTTCAACCGGAATTTCTGGGCTACAAGGAAGTTTATGTGATAGATCATTTTTTTATTTTATTTGTGATTTCCCTACCGAGTGTTACAAATAACTCAGACAATGCTATACTTTATTCCGCTTAGTTTGCTTTTTTTACATTTTAAATATGTAGAAATTTTTATCTATCTGCATATGGATACTTTTGCTGTATTATGTATGATCAAATTTTATTAAATTATATAAGAAATATTCTTGTTTGACATTTTGTTGTTTTATTTGAAAATATTTTCAATTATGTATATTAATTTATTCCTCCAAAGAGGCACAAAAATTCTTCCATTCTTTCTCAATACTTTCTATTTAAACTAAATCATATCATATTGAGTATAAATATTTACTTTAAAATTAATATATAATGTTGATTATTTTAATTTGTGATATTAGCAAATGAATACAAACAATTAAGAATTAAGGCTACATAAAAGCCATTTTTTCAGGTAAAAAATAACTCGATGAGGCTCGTTTCTTCCTTTCTCGAATTTTCGTTCTTAATCACATCTGACTTTGCCACGCGAAACCGAATTTCGCGAGGTGGCTGTGGGACCGCAGATTCATCATGAAATTAATGCAGAGCGCGCGAGACGCCCGTCATTAAGCTGATTGGCCGCCAAGAGGGCCAAGTTTCTCAGTATAATTTTGCGAGTGCTCCGTATACACACGTGCAATCCTCATAATGCACCACTGAGAGGCTCCGAGCAAGCTCTCTTCCATTTCTGAACTCGAAAATTGACTTTTTATCCTTTGACGAGGACGAGGAAGTAGAAACACAGGTAAGTGGACTGTGTAGATGGGAATCGAATGTAAACGCACGTTTGACATGTTTGTTCAATCAAATTAATTGACCAAAAGTTTGCTTGTTTTTTTTTTTTTATGAATATCATATCTCTAAAAATATTCCAAAGGAAATAGTTCTACTAAAAAATCTTGATTTGAAAAACTTATCACAGGAAATATAACAAGGAAATAAAATAATCACAGTATGGCGATTTCTAAGAAATAATAATGTAAAATAATTTTAATTATAACTTATATTTTCTTTGATGAGGAAACATTTATTTTCAGTTCTACTTTTATATATCAAAATTAGATTTTTTTTTTAGAGAAGAAATAGTTGCTTTTTATTTAGGTACTCCTTGTTTTATTTGATTCGTAATGTTAAACTTTACAACCCAGCGTTAATTGTAAGGAATTTTTCCAACAAATTGAGTATTAAAATGAAAATACATCGACGATTTTGCTTTAAACTGAAATTGTGGGACGTCTCGCATTTAGTTTTGAGCCGTTGAGGAAACAAAGCAAATCAAGCCCCTGAGGGCCACACGACCGTTTAAAAAGCTAATTATTTCGCGAGTAATGCGCTCGCGCGAGGACGTTAAAGGGCTTTCTTCTTTTCTTTTGCTCGCGCATAAAGCGGCGGCGAGAGGGCTTTGATATTATTAGTGCTGCTGGCGGGGTGGGTGGGCGGGTGGGTGGCGAGAGGGCGAGTTAATTAATTGATAAAAGCAGGCAGCCCTCTGTGACACAAATGAAGTCTGGTGGGATTTTCATGAGACTAATTAATAAACTAAATAATTAATTATTGTTTCTTCCGAGCTGTGCGCGCGCGAGAGAGAGAGAGAGCGCGAGTGGTTCAAACTTCTAATTATTGCAGTCTCTCTCTCTCCTCTCTTCTCCTCTCTCTCTCTCTCTCTCTCTCTCTCTCTCTCTCTCTCTCTCTCTCTCTCTCTCTCTCTCTCTCTCTCTCTCTCTCTCTCTCTCTCTCTCTCTCTGCTTAGCACATAATGATATGTACATAGAGAGAGAGAGAGAAGCCGTATGTGAGTTGGGTAGCTAATTCATTAGAATATTATGTTGACTCAGCGCTATACAATACGCCCGGCCGTATCACAGTGTTTCAATTAATTTGCTAATTAAATTGCCATCAGCCGCAGAAGCACCAGCCAAAGCAGCCGCCGGATCAGCTTTTGCCGCCATTTTTCCCAATTGACTCGCCCTGTACACACACACAGCCCCCAAATTAATTTCCCGTTATGGATTTAGCACTTGCACGTTGGTGGCTTATTGCGCCGCCAGAGAGAGGTATTGCGGATTTAATGGATTTATACCTCTGCGGCTTTGGCTTTACTTCAGTTTTCAACATTTTCTCCCAGCTTTAGTTTGAATTCAAATGATTCAAACGATTTATGGTGATTTTTCAAGATATAACAATTTAATCATCTCCAGCTTTTGTGTTTGTGAATTTCTGATTTACACACAATTTTTACTTGCTGGATGAATAAGCATTAAATTTTCTAAAACAGTCTGAAAAAAAGAAAGCTAACAATAAAAGCGCATTGATTCCAGATCCAGATATTGACTGGAGCAGATCTATTGATAATGATATAAAATGTTGAAATTTAGACCATATAATTATATTTCAATGTACAATTGTTTAAAAATTATAATTTTCAATTCCCAATTTAGTTGCTCAATTTGGGAAACAATTACATTTTATTTTCATTGATAGGGCATTTGTATAGGGCAATAATTACCTTGTAGGAAATTCAATAGCTTCCATATAATTATTTCATATTATCATCCAGATTTTCTCTTAATTTTTATAGATTTTGTTGCCAATTTTTATTTTGCTTTATAGGCTTGCTAAATTTATTAAATCGAACAAATATTTTGTATAGTCACCTGATTTGATAAATTTATTTCCTGTTTTCCTCAAGAATACCAGGATTTTCTTGCTTATTGCGGATAGGAAAATGTTGTTTTTTACTACTTCAGGGAATTTTTGTTTTTAATCACATAACTTGATTTATTACAATACAATTTAGAAAATCCCAAACAAACAGAATTTTCCTGCTCGATGTTGATAAGAAATTAAAAGCATCCTTTTTTTTGCCAGCATATCCAACAGCAAATATTTTAACTTTTAAGTAAATTTTGTGGTAAGCTTGATTAAATGATAAAACTTCAGTTTCCTTAAAAAAATACAAAATTGAATTAAAAGAATAATTAAAATTATAATTATATAAAAGTAGCCATCTGATTATATTGTCAGTTTGTAATTGCGAGGAAAAGTGGAAAATACAGTGGTGACGAGAGACTTGCTTGTCTCTTAAGGGTTGAACAAAGTCTCTGCTCTGTTTTGCTGTGCTTGCTGGTATTTATAAGTATATGTCTGGGACGAAATTTAATCCCTTGAGACCCTCAATTAACAGCGCTAGGGAAAATAATTAATTTAATTGCTAGGCGGGTGCAGTGAAATATCAGCGTTTAATTGGCGCCGCTATTTTAATTGAAGATTAAGACGGTTTAGGGCCGCGCGCGTGTTTGTTTGGCTCGCGCCGTTTGAAAAGTTGCTCTCGCTCTCTCTTCCTCTCTCTCTCTCTCTCTCTCTCTCTCTCTCTCTCTCTCTCTCTCTCTCTCTCTCTCTCTCTCTCTCTCTCTCTCTCTCTCTCTCTCTCTCTCTCTCTCTCGCGAGTGGCTTTACATTACGGTGTTTCGAGCCTTTGATCCGGGGCTATTCCGACTGTAATCCGCCTTCAGCCCCCAATTACTGCTAAGTGCTTTTCCACCCCCCGCCCCCGCCGGTCCACCCGCCGCCTCATCTCTCTCGGTACACTTCAGTCAATTTGCTCCACTCTCTTTCACTCCCGCGCATCATTTTTATGTCTTGCGCTACACTTTTATATTTAAGCGACACACACGCATTATATTTCGCCGCCACTAAGCGTGATGGAATTGTTGTTGTACACTTACGGTCTTATGGTGAATTGCAAGACGAACCGATTTAAAAGTACGAATAATGCTCTTCCAACTACAATGGAGTAAATTGAGCACTTTTGTAATTAAATTTGTTTTATAAATGTTTTTAAGATAATGTTCAATAAAATTAAAATTTAATTTAAAATTTTATGCATAATAAATGTTATTTAATACATAAGTTTTACATTAAAAAAATAATTTAACAACTTTACTCATTTAAAAATTTATGTACTGAATGTTATATTTCATATATTTATCAAATAATTTTATTGCTGCATTTTTTTTTATCAATTTGCAATTTTTATTGCAGCAGACAGATATTATTTATACACTCTCCAGTTGAAAAAAAATCACTCACACATCTCCTGGCTACATTCTAAAGCAACAGCTCAATGCTCAATCTGCTAAATTAAAATGAAGGTTATTGTTTCTTTAAAACAAAAAATGCTTAAATTGCTCGGCGAAATAATTGAAAATTGACTTTTTAAATTTGTTAAAATATTGAATTATTGATGTTCATAAATAATTTTTATCATTTTATCATGCATCAAAACTCTTGAAATTTGGAATTCGTTCTAAAATCAGGTTTTCTGGTTTCAGTGAAATAAAATATGTATAAGCTTATAAAAAAAAGAAGAATCGATTTATGTAAATGAATTTACAGAACGACGAGGTTGTTTCTTGCTTATTTTCCATCTTTTCTAAGTTCTTGAAAAGATTAGTGAAACTCTTCTTTTATTATAATAAATTATTTCAAACCACACATTAGAAATAATTTACGTTTTTCTATGAAATATTACTATTTTTGAGAAGTATAAGCTCGACAGATTTGCTTAGTAAAGCAATTTGGGTAGGCCTGCGCGCATGTCCACTTTAGTTGGAAGAGTGAAGCCTGCATGAATTGCGTTTTTATCTCGCTCTCTCTTTTATTGTGCTCTTGCTGCATCATATGTGGGGGTATGTGTATGATGTAGCGTATTAACCGAATGAGTGAGAGAGAGAGAGAGAGGCTCTTTCATTCGCTCTCTCTCCCTGCGCTATCTGCGACAGGTGCACTCAACCTAATTGGGATGCAACTTTAATCGACAGCCGCTCTTTTAGCACGTTTTAGTCACGAGAGCGAGAGGCATGTTTTGTTCCTCCACGCACCACCACTTTGTAATTTGCAACACCAGAGGAGAATTTTCAACAAAACGCCTGCACTACTGCCTCGCGAATTGATTGCTAATCAGACTACAAACGTCGCTTCTCTTCAACTGTATTTTTTCCTGGAGAGGTAGTCTGTTAATTTAATTTTTTGTCTTTTCTAATGCGTTCTAAATTTAAGGTAGCTTTTTTCGTTATTTTTAAAATCCAATGATTAGGTTTGAAAATTTATTTGAATTTTTTTATGGTTCATTATATTAATTTAATATGCAAAAAAGGTGGAAATTGTGAG